TGTCCAACTGATCCATCCAAACGGGAAGCACTATATTAGGCTTTCCATAAGTGAATGCCTCCGTCAGGCTATTGTTGCCGCCATGGGTTATGACCGCATCGACCAGTGGTATAATCTGCTTCTGAGGTACTGACCGGTCGCCCCACATGTTGGGCGCCAACTCATACTTGTTATGATAGAAACCTTTAGACACTATAAAGCGGTGCTCCGAATAGGACAACATTTCCACTAACTTTTCCATTGTTGTATAGTCAGCCGACAAAAATGATCCCAACGATACGAATACAAGTTTTTTGTCTTTACTTTCGTCAATAAATTTCTTGAGATCTGTGCCCAACTCCTTGTTTTCATCCATTTCCGGTGTACTAAACGTATCAATCCTCAGAGTATTGGGATATGGTGGAACTCCATCTGTGTAATCTAATTCCATGGGGTATCCATATATGTTCAAGTAGGGAGAGTTAGGATAAGACCTGTTTTCAGTGTTTGCTTCATAGCCCATTAACTTAAAGGCTAGTTTATAGGTAACTGTCAAAAATGAATTATGCATTTCTGAAAACTTGTGAAATGTTCTCGTTTTCCATCCCTGCGCTCCAGATTCAAGTCCTTTTTGGTATAAAAAAATTATAACTAATTGATTAGCACTTAAAATATAATAAAAAGTATATTTATACCATAACCCGCTGGCACTAGTTTTTTATCCTGCAAAAATCCCAATGGATTGCAACTGTAGAGCCATACCCAGGGTTTTCCCGCGTATATCAGTGACGGGTAACAGAAGGTATCATCCATGATAAAGATGTCCGGGTTTAGTTTATCAATAATTTGTCGCAATTTACTCTCTTTATTGACATAATTGAACATGGTCTCCAATAGTAATTTAATATAAGAACACGAATTGAATGTTTGCCTCAAAAACCACGTGATATTCTTCTCGTGGACCCACTGGATATCGGCGGCCAGTCGTGACTCCAGTTCCCCGCACTCGGTGTGCGACCACAACATGTTGTCGATCACCTCCACATCGAAACCATATTTGGTGACCAACTCAGTCTGACTCCTACCCAACGCAAACACTACTTGATGGCCCCGGGATCTCAGGATATGGGCCAGCCCTAAGTTAGAGTTTACGTGCCCGGTCATTTCAAAAGGCACGAACATTATTTTCAATTGTTTTGTCATTTTTGTAATGATTTATTTGAAATTATTCATAATAATATTTTTTTAATTAAAAAATATTTATATATAAACCTAATAAGTATGTCTCAGGATATTAATAAATTGGCATAGTTTATTGGACTAATTTATATAATGTATGACCGGCAAAAAAAGTGGATTTCTATTATAGTTTAGTTCAAAATGACAATCCGTGTCATAAATTATTGATAAACTATTAATATTCTTAAAAACTTAAATTTAAAAATAAGAAATTTTTAAAATTAATTTATATCAGTTAAATTGTTTAATTGCAATTTTCAAAAATATTAAATTTATAAGCAAGGATAATATTATTTAGTTTCATTGATTAAAATATTGCAAATTCTCAATTAATTTCACCGCAGTCTCGACACTATCAGACTTTAACATACGTTTAGAAACTGTACTCAATTTGTCTGTCATTTCTTGATTATTGAGCACTTTATCGATAGCATCCAGCATATCTCTCACATTGATTTTATGAGCATCCAATTTGACACCATAACCTAGCTCATGTATACGTTGGGCGTTATCAAACTGGTCGCACCAAAGGGGCAGTACTATCATAGGCTTTCCGTACGTAAACACTTCGACCAAAGTATTGTTTCCGCCGTGAGTTATGACCGCATCGACGAGTGGTATGACTTGCTTTTGGGGCACAAACTGTTGGCCCCACATGTTGTCTGGCAAGTCGTATAAGTCGTGATAATAGCCCTTTGATATAACATACCGGTGAGTGGATCGGGATAGGATTTTAATCAACTTTCTCATGTAATTCATGTCCGCAGACATTACGGTCCCCAACGATACGTATATTAATTTTGTGTCTTTACTCTCATTAATAAACGTTTTGAGATCTGGGCTCATGTCTGAACTCGTGTCCATTTGCGGCAATGAAAATGTGTCCATACGATAGGTGTTGAGATATTTCAGGTGTCTGTCCTTATAATCAAGTTCCTTGGGATAGCAGTAGATGTTCAAGTAGGGAGAGTGAAGATTATATCTATTATCTGGGTTAGCCTTATATCCTCTCAACAAAAATGCAATTTTATACATCATTATAACCCAATGTGTTAATAGTTTTCGGCCTAAATGTAAGGCTAGTATTTTCCATCCATTTTCTCTAGTGTCATAACCTTAGCATTAATTATATTAAAATTACAAGTTGTTAGTTAAAAACATATTTAATTTATTATTACCCATAAAAGGTGGTGGCAAATTTTCATCTTGATAAAATCCCAATGGATTACTGCTAAACAGCCAAACCCATGGCTTCTGTGAATATATAATGGATGGGTAAGTGAAGACGTCGTCCACTATTAAAACGTCGGGCTTTAGTCTCGCAATCATTTGTCTGAGTTTATAGTCCTTATTAAAGAAGCCAAAAATAACCTGGTAATATAGTTTGGCTAATGTGACCCAGTTAGTGAGTCGGCTCATAAGCCAATAAACAGTTTTCGGTTGAGTCCAACCTAATTGAACGGTAACTCTTGACTCAAATTCCGTGAATGAGTTGTCTTTCCACAAGAAATTGTCGATCACTTCCACATCGAAGCCATTCGTAATGACCAGCTCTTTATGGGACGGGTCGACGGCCCATACGATGTGATGGCCCCGGGATTTCAACGTGTGGGCCAGACCTATGCCCGAGTTTATGTGGCCCACCAACTCCATGGGAACGAACATTATTTTTAATTTGTCAGTCATTTTAATTAATTTATTACATTAAGGGTTAATATTTGATAACTCTTTACTCACACACAAAACAGTCGTTTAATTTCACTCCTTTTAATACAGACTTAATAGTAAATGTCATTATTTTTCTCAGGATATGATGGACTCAATTAATTGTAATTTAATGTTATGCATTATGTACGTGCTCTCGTTCACATTAGGGTCAGTGTCATTTTATAGCATGCAAATGATGTTAATTTTATAAATGTAAAATCTGAATTATACCAGTTTGGTTTTTTGGTGTAAATTATGACATTAAAATATAATATAATTTATTCATAATTTCCAAGTAGGTTTACAATGTTGTATAAATTAATAAGCGAACTTATATTGAATATTATTTAATGGCTTAAATATAATTACTGTAAATATTTATTTGAATTAAATACAAGTCTATTAATAAAGTCAAGTAAAAGTTAGAAAAAGTTATGAATGAATGTATTTGTTAGAAATTAAAATGAAGTTAGAAAAGTATTTGTCAAAAATGAATGTTTGAGTGGACAGTCGTATGTCAGTCGAAGCTATACTTCCACCACTCCTTCTCATTGCCTTCCGAGATATGATTGATGAGAGCTTTGCGTCGATTTTGGCAGTAATTCAATGAATGCAAGACTTGGGATCTGATGTTACGGTTGTATGTCAGTCGAAGCTATACTTCCACCACTCCTTCTCATTGCCTTCCGAGATATGATTGATGAGAGCTTTGCGTCGATTTTGGCAGTAATTCAATGAATGCAAGACTTGGGATCTGATGTTACGGTTGTCCTCTTCGGCGTCGATCTCGCGCTCCAAGTATTCGGAGAGCGTTTCGACCGCTTTCTGCAGATCTCTTTGGTTGTCCTCAAAGATGTCGATCTGAGGGGTCCTATCGTTGTAGAAGGCGAACACATAGGTGTACATCAGGGTCTGCCTACAGCTGCACAACACCTCCACCGCCCGCTCCATGAACTGCACCTCCACCCAACTCATGTGATACCTGTCCTGCATGTGTGTCATCTTCGTCGTGACCGTCGACTTGAGCTCATTCTCGAACTGAAGACTCTGCTTATGGTTCATGAATCGCGTCCAATAAAACATGAATCTCTCCAAAAACTTGCGACTTTCGCTGACTCTGTATTTCCAATGCTTGGCTTCGCTGTCGTTATACTTATTGCAGTTATAATAGGAGGTGCCGTGCGTTGACCACCCGTCCAGACACACCCAACAGAACTGGTACTTGCATTTGACGGACCGACAGGTCATGTGATTGCAGCCGCCGTTCTTCTCGATAGTGGTCCAGCATTAGGGACACTCCTTGATGTTAGTAATGATCCAATTGGCGGTCTATCCGTCGATCATCTCGCCGTTACTTCCGGCGGACTTCACGTTCCACTCGCGCAGCAGTTGACAGCCGATGGGCTCGTGATTGTCTTCTCCACAGCCGAAGCAGATCTGTTTACCGCAGACGCACACCACGGGATGCGCCTCTTTGGTCTGAGCGCTAAACGCGTGCAAACAGTCCGGACGGGGACACCATCTCAACAGCCGATTGGACGACACGTAAGAGTCGGTGTTCAGGCGCTGGTATTTGGCTCTCACCGTCTCATCGGTGATCAGTTGCAGCACCTGCTCCTCGTCGACCACCACTTTGCAGTCGGTGGCCGGACAGGTGATGGCCATCACGTCGCCCTCAGACATGATTTTGTGGTCAAGTATTGCGTCCAACAATGAGTGCAAAAGAGGTGATCGCAGTCTAAGCCAAACAAGTGGTGGGGTTTGATGTCATCGGAATAGCAGATGAAACACACACTCTTCGCATAGCACTGCCTTTTGCTTTCGTTGCCATTGGGTGTCGTCCTCTCCGTCCTGTTGGACACGATCCCAATGTCGGCGAAGAGCTGTTCCTGATTGCCGTCGAACAGCCGTTCCAACAGTTTCTGTGTATCCCATTTGAAATGTGCGAGAAGTGTGCGGATTGTGGCCGAAGACAACTGTATGACGGCTTTGATCTCTTCGATGCAACCGTGTATTTGCTTCTGTATCTCATCGATGGTCAGCACTTCGTACTCAAACTCCTGAGCGAACCTCATGAATAAACTGTGAAATGTGTATTAAGGTTGCGAAAAGAGTATGATGCCTTTCTGGGAGCGTTTGATGACTTCCCGCATATATTTAAGCGTTGGATCCGATATCATGTCGAATTGTTTTTCATATATCTACCCTTAAATATAATCAGACTTAAGATCATCAAGAAACATGAGACAAATATAGTTATACACGGATTAATGTCAAACATTATCAAAGTATTATTATGTTTAGACTTGTATAATGAATTCCATAAGTCTAAAGAAATAGATCTTGGTTTCTGTTGTACCCTGGCACTCATCATGGAAAGGGTAATATAATATTTAGAACTTATAATTATACAGTATATCAGTAATAATATAATATATTAATCTCAATATATAGTTTCGTTTGTATATGAAATTCTATGCCTATTCTGTGGAAACAGAATCCATTGATAAACACCGAACAAAACAACTGAGTTTTAAGGGCACCTATAACCGGGAAGTGGGCAAATTTGCTTACTTTTTGTTTGCACCCACATTAGTTTATCGAGAAAACTATCCTAGGTAATTTGGATAGCTCACGTAAACCCGATTACATAGCTAACCAAACGATTAAATCTGATCTCTATAGAGCCCTTTCCATCCGATGGATACCAGTACTGAAACACGCGTACGAATTCCTATTTGCAATGCTAATGGGAGTGGTATGTGTGAAACCCTACTTCGAGGACAACATATTTGGTCCAATGAATGCCAACCCATACAATGCGGGCAACTACTTGCCCCTAATAACACTGGGCATCGCGTCGGGAGTGCTATTTTTCATGAAGTTCTTCTACGTTACGCTTCACTGTTACTGCAATATGTGGGCCGAGCTGTTGAGGTTTGAGGACCGGGCCTTTTACGGCGACTTCTGGAACGGCAGGGATGTCAACGAATACTTCCTCAAATGGAATTCCCTCATTCAGGACTACCTCTACCACTACATCTATGTGCCGGTGCACCGGTCCACCAAAGATCGGGTGATGGCCGCCGACGCGGTCATGTATATCAGTCATTTCACGCACGCTATCATATACTCCATACTGACGAAGCGAAATATTCTAATGTTTGTGGCCGTCCTGTTCCCTTCCGTTCCCCTCACCCGAGTGGTCCTAAGACTCATTAAACCCCGACGCAATCCAATCGACAAGTTTTACACCAATAAAGAGAAACAAAAGCCAAACAAAGTGAACGCCATGTTAGAGGACTGGATACGTATTTACTCGACTGGATTTCTGGGCTTATTGTTTGTATATCTCATGTCTTTGGGCTATACCAAGAGGTCTGAGTTTCCCGGACTTCCTAACTTCTAGACACACCTTGCTTATCCTTATGTCAAAAGTTCAATATTTATATGTAATTTGATTTATTACCGAAACACTCATATGAATTATAATAATTAATTTTAATTACAGATCAATTTATATTGATAAAGTTTATAATTATGTTTAACTTTAGAAAGAATTATATTCATTAAAAATTTTATTTATAATAAAGTGCTTATTTAGTTTTTAACGGAATTTGTATATAAACTTTCATTTTATATTATAATCTCGCACATTTAAATTAATTATTTCTAAATTACACTTGTTTTGTCGTTTGAATAGTTTATTTCAAATCTCACTCATGCCTGTGGAAAATAGATTAAAGGTTTTGATAAGTAATCTAAACTTAGTTAGTGACTAACCGCTGGCCCTACAGTCTGGGGTTGGTGCTGTCGCTACTGTTGCTGCTATACTATACGCTAAGTGAGTTCGATATGAGTCTCAGTACGGAAGAGGCGAAGCCGAGGTTCGCTCAGGAGTTTGAGTACGAAGTGCTGACCATCGATGAGATACAGAAGCAAATACACGGTTGCATCGAAGAGATCAAAGCCGTCATACAGTTGTCTTCGGCCACAATCCGCACACTTCTC